ACGGAGACACGATGATCCTCCCCATACTGGCCAGATATTTTGTAAATAATATTGATTATGTGTTAAAGGAATATACTTCCTTCCTTAGGCTTTAGTAAGCCCCTTTATAATATTTATACTGTATATACTTGTCACACTTGCCAGTTGCTTCTGGTGTCATTGTACCTGGTGACAGCACTAGGATCCCGCTTCCTCAATCAAGGAATAAACAATTGAAATTGAAATTGAATTATCATCTTAGAACAAAATTTCATTTAAAGACAATCGTTCACCAACGAACAGACCACCATTTCTTCCTTAACCCCTCCTGCTCGCGTTGAAATAAGACAATGTGTATCTTACACTTTATGACCATTGGTTCCTTAGTCAGTGAGACAGTGAAATCCAATGTCCTCCTTGCAAACTTAGTCACAAAACACTCCGTTGTTTATCATGACATTCCTACTCCATAAACGTTACATTTAGTTGAAGCTTCGGATCATGTGAAGAATCTCCACCCCAGCTTATTTCAACTTGAAATTGACCACCCTAGTGCTAACCTAACCTAACCTAACCTAACCTAACCTCATCCCCCAAACATTGTTGGGGTGGTTAATCTTTAGGTGAAATTAGCTGGGGTGGAGATTCTTCACATGATCCGAAGCTTCTCATCATTTAAATCCTTCATCCTCGTACAACTTATGCTTCTTTTAATGTATAAGTCAGACCACTCACCTCTTATTGAACAAGTTCATTAGGTATCTTCATCTCTTATATCCCTGGTGTACTGTATAAGTTTAGCTTGAATATTGGTCACATGCCGGTTGTATTGGCTATTAGACAATGCACTATCCACCACGATATTAAAAAAGAAAGAAGAAAAAGGGAGAACAGATAGCCAAATAAAAGGTATAAGAAGGGAAAGAGCACAAGGGAAAACTAATAAATGTTTTACGAAGGTAGAGAGAGAAAAGAAAGAATAATCGAGTATGTTATAAAGGAGAGAGAAAGGAATGAAGAATACGGTGTAATAATGGGGGGGAGGAAAGACAGTCCTTTGGTCCACCCTGCTGAGGTAAGTAGTGGCGCCACGTATAGGGTGAAGAGGCAGCGGGAGGGACAGGAGAGAGTCGGAGTGGCCGGGCTTTGAGGTCGCTTCATTATCACAGGAAACGTTCAATCTAGTACCCACCAACCACTACCAGTCCTCTTGTCTTCTCTTCCAAGAATTTCAAACAGTGTGGCCAGGTTACCCACATCCTGATAAGTCTAGTCAACCTGTGGCTGTTTGCTTATGAAGGTATTTATCACTGCACAGTTATAAATCGTCCGAGAAATTCCCCCAAAATGGTAACTAAGACAAGCTGAAGGAAAAGGTTAATCTAAACTTTTTTGCGTGTTGTTTACGTCACCATACTAAAAGGTAATCATTCACCTTTCACATCAAGTTACCGACTTGTAACCACCCGTCACCCGTCACTCACCATACATCAACCACCACTCGTTAACCATCACCGTCATCCACCCCTCGTCAACCGTAACCGTTACCCACCATCCGTCATTGTCACCGTCATCCAACCACTCGTCAACCGTTACCGTCACACACCAATACAGTGCCGGATTTAGACCTGTGGAGGCCCATGGGCAGCCTCTTTGTGGAGGCCCCCCTCATTATAACTACCCAAGAGGGTGGGGTGGCGAGTGAAGCGAGCCTAAACATCTGGGAGTTCCGGAATTCTAAATATATTATTAGCAACACAAACAATAGCGTTCATTAAAAATATACGGTTCATAGGAAAACCAGGTATTCATGAATTTCAAGGAGTAGCTAGTCCAATTTCTATCACGCTTCTTGCTGAACATAGTTTTACGTGATGGAATAGATAAACATGAATTTTAAAGATTGGAAATAAAAATAATCCAAATTAATAAACAAATAAATAAAATATTGTAATATGTGGAGGCCCCCAGATTGTGGAGGCCCCTGGGCAGCTGCCCACTTTGCCCACTCCTGAATCCGGCCCTGCACCAATAACTTCCTTGGTTTGCCCAGAAATAATTATGTTAGTCTCAAGAAGAAAAGCTAACACCCTTGTTAACTCATTCAATTTTCGTTAGAAAGAATATATCAAGGTAGACTTCTCTAAATATATCTACTGTATATACCAATGAATAATCCTCTTGTTTATTTCAAGATTTCCGACTTAAATTTTTTAGTACAGTAATTATCTTTTGTTGACCAATTCATCAGCAAATGACAATTCAAGAAGATATCTCAGAGTGTTGAAAATTGAATTTTGGAAGGAATTCAAATTAGCATCGAAATCTAACACCACCATGTCGTAGAACAGTTGTAATGAGACTGGTGCAACCCATCGTCTGGCTTTTACTGTCTGAGAAGTCACCCCGAAAAACGTGTTGGAATTTCGTGCATAATTTGGGTAAATCCAACAACTCTCAAATTTTACTTGATTAGCATGTATATCTAAGATTGAAGAATATAAATAACCATTACCAAACATATACAAAGCAGTAACGTATTAGGACCCACACTCCCGAATATTCAGTGAACAATTATTGTTTATAACGCTTTGGCAGAATAAAATAAAAACATTACACGCGCACACACACACATTCCTCCAGTGGTTATCTCTCATTTTTATATCATTATCTCCCAGGAATGGTTTCTCATCTATTACATTATCTCTCATTTATCTTCCCATCTCCGTGAAACTTCTCTCTCTCTCTCTCTCTGTCGTTCTAAGGTTATCTCCCAATTGTGTCTTTCCATCTCTTAATTTTGACTCTTAAATTTCAAACTGTCTCTCAATTATAATTTCCCCGTAAGAGGTCAATCAACATTCATTCGGGTCTCTTCCTTTCACAAAAAGTCTCTCGAGTATTATAACACCTCTGAACCTCTCTACGTCACTGATTAGTTTCTAGAGTTGTACAGTGTATTGAACTTTAAAATCTCCATTTCTCTGTTGTCTCTGACAACTGTAATCCATCTGCATATCTTCATCTCACTATACAATCTCAGTGTCATCTCTTTATTTATATATTCCCAGTTTATTGATATATCTCTTTATGTCCACGTCCTCAAAATATATATTCTCTTTCTCTTCTATTTGTTTTACCCCATTGTACACTCTGTTATTTTTATTCTCTCATCTACATAGCTTACTACATAGCCCCAAAAGTGACATTTCACATGTTTTATCTCACTGATAATTCTATCGTTATCTCCTTCCTACAGTATATGTATGCACGTCACATTCTAGTTTATTAAAATCCTTTTAATCTTCCAGGCATGCTTCACCTGTGGTGGTGGTCCAGGTGTGGGTCAATGACAGCAATTAGTAACATCAGGTAGGTGATATTACTAATCATCAAGTACTCAGATGATTCTTCCTAACTGAGGTTAAGGGAATCTATCCCATTATTACATTAAAGTACTGCAGGGTCCCAATGAAATTGATAGGCGTCTTTGCATCATTGCATGAATGGTAATAAAAGTACAAAGATTATACGCGTCTGCTAACAGCTAAAAACATATTCTACGTTCATGGCGGTTAGGTAGGAAGGCCCGAATAGGGAGGGCAGAGGGAAGGGAAGGACTGTTTAAGGGAGGGGGGGGGGGACCTGATAAGGGAGGTAAGAAGGGAGGGAAGGCCTGGTTAGGGAGGAAGGATGTGGGTTGAATCTTGATCCAAGAGACAATCATCATTACAGTGGGTGGGTCGACTTGAACACCTGAGGCGGCCAGGGTAAGGCCGCTGAAGCGTGAGAGAGAGACATGTGTGTGTATGTGTGTGGGTGTGTGTGAATTAATAAGTAAGAGAGGAGGCACAGAGTTATGTATATCTGAGAACCCATTTTGACCACACTACCGATGGAAGAAATATGTTATCGGGTTGTTTATGTCTTTGTATTATCCACGACCATCTTTTAGATCGTCTCCACTTTGCACACAACCCAACAAAGTCCCCCCTTTCGCTTTTCCTTAAGATGCACGAATGACCAATTTTATTTATAGTCTTACCAACCTCTTTCTTTTAAGTGTATTGTGTATATACTAAGGTAATATATTATTGTCTATGTTTCACCATTTCGGTAAAATTCATTGATTTATTGATTTATAATTTCATATCTTAGATTCAATACTTTCTTCTACTTAAATATAATACATATAATATATATATATATATATATATATATATATATATATATATATATATATATATATATATATATATATATATATATATATATATATATATATTTGATCAGTAGACTCGTAGACTCTTTTTCTCTAGAAATTTGGTGTAACAATCTGGTCACATAACACAATGGCATATATTTTTAATGTCCCCAAGATTTATTATCTTGAACATAAAAAGGATGTTCGGAGAAATCTGCAAAAATTATACAGGGCTCTGGTTGAAAGCATGTCACTAAACTACTATAGACACCGAGTTGCCCATCATCACTAACAACAGGTAATGGGGAGTCCTCACGGAAGACAGCTGGCCACGCCTCTAAACTTCACTTCCCTTGCCTTCACTCAAGCGTGAGGGACAGTTGGTATAGATCTACATATATAAATAAATACAAATCACATGAATGCTAGGATTCTAGTAAACACAGCAGTAAGATGAACTTCCCAGGATGAATTTTGCCACTTACGCTATCAAACTTTTTGGTTTACCAATGAAGATTCGACTATTGAAGAAAACGTCGAGGTGTACCGCAGATATGTATCGTGTTGCTGATGGAGTCCCCAATACCTTGCTGGACGAGGCTTGCCCCTTCACTCCCACGAGAGTGCTGCCCGTACATTATTTACGACGGATCCAAAACCCTGAATCGATTAATTATATTCTATATCGAGTGGTTTGTATTCACGAGGGCCGTGTACCGTGCCAGAAGGGTCGACCGAGGATGACAAACAGCAGGGAAGGCACAGCGGACACCATCTGAATTACGACCAAGAGCTACACAGCATCTTAAACTATATCTCAGACTAAAGTGCCAGTGGCCACACCTGCAGTAACACTAGTGGCCACACCTGCAGCAAAACTAGTGGTCATACCCGCAGCAACACCTGTGACCACACCTACAGCAACACTATTGGCGACGCCTACAACAACACTAATGACGACGCCTACAGAAACATTGGTGACCACGCCTAGAAAAGCAGTAGTGACCACACCTGCAGCAACACTAGTGGCCGCACCTGCAGCAACACCTTTGGCCACACCTGCAGCAACACCTTTGGCCACACCAACAGCAACACTGTTGGCCACACCTACAGTAACACTAATGACGACGCCTACAGAAACATTGGTGACCACGCCCAGAAAAGCAGTAGTGACCACACCTGCAGCAACACTAGTGGCCACACCTGCAGCAACACTAGTGGCCACACCTGCAGCAACACTAGTGGCCACACTTGCAGCAGCACCATTGGCCACTCCTACAGCAACACTAATGACGACGCCTACAGAAACATTGGTGACCACGCATAGAAAGGCAGTAGTGAACACACCTGCAGCAACAATAGTGGCCACACCTGCAGCAACACTAGTGGCGACGCCTACAACGACACTAATGCCGACGCCTATAGAAACATTGATGACCACGCCAAGAAAAGCAGTAGTGACCACACCTGCAGCAACACTAGTGGCCACACCTGCAGCAACACTAGTGGCCACACCAGCAGCAACACTAGTGGCCACACATGCAGCAACACTAGTGGCCACACATGCAGCAACACTAGTGGCCACACTTGCACCAACACTAATGGAAACACCTGCAGAAGCACTAGTGACCACACCTGAAACAATGCTAGTGGCCACACCTGCAGCAGCACTATTGGCTACACCTAGAAAAACAGTAGTGGCCACACCTACAGCAATAATAGTGACAACGCCTACAGCAAAACTATTGGCCACACCTGCAGCAACACCAGTGGCAACACCATTCACAAAACTAGTAGCCACATTTGTAACAACACTACTGGCCACATATGCATCAGCAACAGCACCAACACCAGCAACAGCACCAACGCAACCCAACAGAAGCACAAATACCAGCACCAACACCAGTAACAGCACTAACACCAGTGACAGAACTAACACAAGCAGCAGCACCAACACCAGTAACAGCACCAACACCAGTAACAGCACCTACATCAGCAACAGCACCAACAACAGCAACAACACCAACACCAGCAACAGCACCAACGCAACCCAACAGAAGCACAAAAACCAGCACCAACACCAATAACAGCATTAACTCCAGCAACAGCAGTAACACCAGTACCAGCACCAACACCAGTAACAGCACCAACACCAATAACACCAACAACACCAGTAACAGCACCAACACTAGTAACAGCACCAACACCAGCAGCAGCACCAACACCAGTAACAGCACCAACACTATTAACAGCACCAACACCAATAACAGCAACGACACCATTAACAGCACCATCACCAATAACAGCACCAACACCAATAAAAGCACCAACATTAGTAACAGCACCAACACCAGTAACAGCACTAGCACTAGTAACAGCACCAACGCCGACGCGCCCAAAGCACCAGTAACAGCACCAACACTAGTAACAGCACCACCACCAGTAACACAGCACCAACACCAATGCCTTAACAACACCCATTAACAACCCACGGCGTGCGAAATTAACAGCACCAACACCAGTAACAGCGCAACACCAGTAACAGCACGAACATCAGCAACAGCACCAACACCATAACCGCGCCAGCGCAACCCAACGAAGCACAAAATACCAGCACCAACACCAGTAACGGCGATGCTCCAGCAACAGTAATAACGCAATTGCCAGCACCAACACCAGTAACAGCACCAACACCAATAACATCCAACAGCACGGTAACGGCACCAACACTAGTAACAGCACCAACACCAAGAAAGCAACAGCACCAACACCAGCAAAAGCACCAGCCCCAGCAGCACCGGCACCAGTAACAGCACCAGCACTGGTAACGGCGCAACACCAATAACAGCAACAACACCATTAACGGCACCGTCACCACTAAAAGCACCAGCACCAGTAACAGCACCAACACAGTAACAGCACCAACAACAGCAACAGCACCAACACCAATAACAGCAACAACACCATTAACAGCACCGTCACCATTAACAGCACCAACACCAGTAACAGCACCAACACCAGTAACAGCACCAACACTATTAACAGCACCAACACCAATTACTGCAACAACACCATTAACAGCACCATCAACAATAACAGTACCAACACCAATAAAAGCACCAACATTAGTAACAGCACCAACACCAGTAACAGCACCAACACCAGTAACAGCACCAACCCCAGCAACAGCACCAACACCAATAACAGCAACAACACCATTAACAGCACCGTCACCATTAACATCTATCCTCTAAACCTACGTGCAGTGACTACCTACCGTCTTCTACAATACTCAGCCTTACTCGTCAGCCATCTCTTTTGTGTTGTAATTTAAAGGCTATAGGTCTTGAGATTTAATATTTTTCTGGTTTCGGTAATTTCTAATAAAATGTTGGCCTTTGTAGTTTATATTTCATATTGTCATACCTCTTTAGAATAAATATCATTGCATATTTTGGTTTGTCTGGAAGTAACTGGTTATTAAGCATGCGTTATAAATGTTTAATAGTTTATTTAAAATGTTCAGTAGATTCATGATCATTTTCGTTTGTATACCTGTGGGCAGAACTTTTCTTAGTTTCCTCAGACAGTTATCATTTCTCCCATGGTTATTTGATTTATTGGGTGATAAGTTATAGTCTGTATATTGCCTTGGGTGTGATTCTATGTATTTGTTCACTTTCAAAATCTTCATTTTCTCATCTGATATTTTAAAAACTTTTATTCCTTTTGAATGCTGCTCTTGTTCATTTTCCTCGTGCAATTTTTGTTGTTTGGTCTTTAATATGAGGTGTTTTGCCCCTCTATCTTTTTATTAAAATGTTTTTTGTGTCTTTAGTATATGTATCATGCATTTAATATCATTCATTTTTGTGTTTGCTTCCTTACATGCGTCTTAATTTTATCTGTAGTGCTATCTGTATGTCGTTATATATTCAGCCTCTTTTAACTTTTCGAAACATCTCTGATCTGCCTGTTCCACGAGCAACGCCATCTAAGGGACAGACATTATGACTCGTCTTAGTTACTATCAAGGTTTCCTTCTCCCTATCCTGGTTGTTGCGTCACCTCCAATTGGAGGAGCTGGCTCTGGGGTGACCTTGGGATCATCCTCTAAACCTACGTACGGTAAAGTGACTTACCTACAAATGTTCTACAATACTCCAGCCTTACTCGTCATGTCTCAGCTCCTCATAGTACTAGTATCTACTTGTATTAATTTCCCCACGTCCTTCGAGATTGTTTTATGTTTTATTAATAACTTCTTCTTTCTGTTAATGTTGGGTTAAGTTTGGTTAGGGGTAATTTATAAGCTGAATATTTTGTTAAGGGTTATGAGGTACTCTATTACTGTACAACAACTCGCATCCTTTGTCTACCCCTTTATAGTCCGATTGTCTTTGTTTTTGTATTTATTTACCTGTTGGGATCTGGGTAGGCGTATAACATATTCCTAAATCCCCAACTCGTAACAAATAGCGACCGTGACAGAGACCGACCTTGATACCATATCCTTCTCCTTGTACTCAGTGTTAATTATTTATATACAATCACTTCTGTTCTAATTGCTTTACGGTGGTTTAAGTTTCCTTCATATATGTTTACATACTTGGTATTGCTCGTGCAATGGAGTGACAGGCGTAGGATGTTAGGTTTAAGTGTCATAGAGCACACTGTTGTTGCGTGGCATTTGTGTAGTAAGTCTTATCAGTGTAAGGAGAATCCGGATCTGTTTAATGCCGTGCCCTCACTCCAGAGTGGGCTGTTCACTGATCCTGGATTTCACGGTGAGTGATATCTTAGAACGCCCGGCGCTCTACCAGGACCCCTCAATTATAAAGCCTCAATTGTTCTTCTCATTATCTCATTCAGGGTCCAATCATACACCATTTATCAGGGTTGTTAATCCCAGATCTTTATATTAATGCACCGTGGCTTCCCTTTTATCTTTCGTCTCTTATCCTTATCCTGAGGATCTTCTCCAGAAGAACAATAATCACAGTGTAATTTCCTAGGTACTAACTTGGTTAGTTTTCAGGACTTTTCTGTTGTCACGCGTGATATTTTCGAGGGTTATCCCTTATCTTATCTTTGGACCATTAGTTAATTTTGTCTCTTTTTCTTAACAATGGCCACCTCAGGTTTTCAGTCTCAGGATTTTATTGAAAATCCTTCCGTAGCCTAAATTAAAGTGTTAATATCACTGAAGAAGAATGGAAAGAAATAATAGCTGACTGTAATATCCGACACAGCAACGCTAAGGAAATGTTAAAATCATGTGATTGAGTGCTGGTTCAACAGGTTTTAAGAATCGCTGTTG